AATAGTCAGGAAGGAAATGTTCTCTTTTCAGATTTCGGAAGAGGAAAAAGCGAACAAGCAAGCAAACAACTGCACCTCAAAATTGCATTTGATAACAGGCCATAACCACTGCAAAATGGGCCTTTTGCCTTTTTCTCTATTTATTCCACTTGGAGGAAAACAAACAACAACAACAAAAAAAAATAGTACTTCAATATCCTACTAGTTATCAAGCCTCTCCAAAAGAAGAGGATAGTATAAAATTATGCCCCTTCCACAAAATCTTCTCCTGTTATGCCTTTCATTATCCTTATAAATCCTCTTCAGAAAATAGTCCTGAAATTACTGTTCATGTGTTGATGTGATTCCAGGGCGAACCCTCCCATTTGAGCTGATCGCTGTCAGGTTGATGTGATTCCAGGGCGAACCCTCCCGAGCTGATCGCTGTCAGAGTCAGCTTGTATTTATTTCAGCTGCTAAGAAATAAATAAGGAGGCCGAGAAGAGCTCTGCCAGCATTTTACAGGGTGCTCTCAGTACAGCAGGCCTGCCTTTCATTAGCGTCTCGGGAGTTAAACATTAGTAAGTGCAATCACCAGAGGAAAATTACTGGAACAAACACGACGAAACGGTTCTAGCCACCTGATGCGCTGAGGAAGGGATCGTGCGTATCAAAAATTAAGGCACAAATTTACAATTTTAAAACACTGCCATGGACAAAACAACCTTTGAGAACACAAGGTATTGCTGCAGTTGTCATGTGTATGTATGATCAAAATATAATATTCTTGTGGAAAATCAGAGCTATTCAAGGCATATTAGAGGAAATATCGAGACTTATAAGTACAATGCTTTTGTACTCATACATGTTTGACCTTGTATGTAAAGTCCTTTTCTTGTCTCATTTATAGGTGAGTTGCTGTTGATGAAATACCACAGTTTTGAAGCACAGATCACCACTATGTGTGCAGAATCTTTGCTATGTAGAGTTAACTTATGCATCTAGGACCATGCACTGAGGCGATTAGGAGTTTCAGAAAGCAGAGCAAAAGAGGATTTGAGAAGCAACTCTATAACTGCATAGTCCAGTAGTTCAGATTTGCCAAGTACTATTGCAATACTTGTCTACAGCATGGCAGTTTATTATCTGGCATGGCTAAGATACTGGGGTGGAGAGAGGAATGGGATAGGTGCCATGGAATAGCGGCACCAGCTCCATGCCTTCTGAGAATACTTCTGCATAAATACCCCTCTACCCCACTCACTCAGAGGCACAACATAGTACCGCAGTACTACTCAAAATGTCCTTAAAATGGAGAACTCTTTACTGCTTTATGGCCTTCATTACTTACTGCTTTCACTGTGAGATAATCTAGATTTATTCGCCACTTGCCTCTTGCAGAATGTAGGACTTCTTTGAAGAAGAAAAGGCTCTACTAGGTCATTAGACTACATCATTGTATCAATTTTCCTCTAATTAAGAACTGCACTTTGCTTTTTTATTGCTTGCATAGAAACTACCTCTGCTCTCTGCAATCTGTCTTTATTCAGGTTCTCCAGCAAGCCAATCCTTTCTATGAAAAGTCTAGGAGAAAAACCCAGTGAGCAAGTGCTCATCTGCTTCCAATGAAAAGGAAGGAAATGTAGCTTAAAAAAAAAAAGCCATCTCTGAGAAGTTTTACTCATTCTCAATTCAGCTTTCAACAGGAGAAGCATAAACCAGAATTACCAGTCTCAAAGAACCGCAAGCTCAAATGACAAACAGGGAACTGATGCGGGAGCACAGCTGATTTCGTGTTTGAGTTTGTATCGCTTGGTCAGCTACTTGCAGTGAAGGACGTAGACGTATGTGGTGTCTACAGTTCTATCCAGACAAACTGTCCAACCTTTCAATATATGCACTGATAATTTGGACTAGGTACCTTGCACTGGAGTTCAGAAAGGTCACATGCTACCCAATACCTGTTATAACTTTTCCTTTGTCGTTCCAAGCGTTCCTTCGCCTTCATGTGGCTTTCAAAGATGTACAGTATAGACTGCAATAGATTTACTAGAACTGTGGGGCAGACGTGTCTGTGAGTTGGGCCAAGTGCAGTTGTATGTGGTGACAATCCAGTAACACCTTGTGTGAATCCCTGTCCTTCTTTAGGTGGGCCTTTATCTGCACTGTGGCTGGTCTCAGTGAACTGAGTTCTTTGTGAACAGCAAGGGGTGAAAATACATGGGTAAAACTAGTCTTGTGAAATTAAAATAAGTAGAGAAATTCTTAGAAAAGCCCAAGCCTTTCTGGTGTGTCTTCTCACCAGATTCTCTTGGAAATCGAAGGTAAAGTTCAAGTGATAACTGTGTTGAAGAAAAAGCTCCTCAAGTCTGGCTAGCTGAAATAACATGAAATAACAGGAATAGCAGTCACAGATGAAAAGACACCAGTGACCATTCAAGTGAAACATGCTGTTCCGGAAGGGTTGAGAGCCTGAAGTATCCATTTCTGTTGCTCTCTTCAAACACACTTATTAGGGAGTGCCTGGAAGTACTTAGCTTGCAGGGATCAGCACTTGGTGGTATCTTGGTGTATATCATGCAGCTTGTGGAGAAATAAAAGCTAACGGAGTTGTAGGGATGATCAAAAATACCTGTTCATCAGTAACCCACCTAGTACCCCAATGTCCACGTTCCCATTACACTCTCTAATCAGCGATCAGTTAATGTTTGATTCACCAACCAGCAAGTTGATTACAAGTTGTTGGCTTGCTGAGCTGATTCAGCTTCAGCTATGACATTGCTTTAGGCAAGTTCTGTTTTGTGACTAGTAAAACAGCAAGGACTGACTGCTGCAATTTCTTCTCCTCTTGATTACAACTCTTAGGGTTCTTCATACTGCATCTGATACAACCAGATTCTTACAATATGTATGAAGGATCATACATAAGTACAGACCCACTTATGAATATTGATCCAAACCAGTAATCAGTCATAAAATATTGATGGATATATATTTGTTTTGATTCAAGGTATTTCAGAAAGAAGATGTCTTGCAGTCATTTTTGCTGGATACATTGAAGTCTACAGTGGAGGTGCAAAAGGATTATTTTAGAAAGCACTATCACTAGTGATAATAAGGCCCCAAAAGCAATATGTTGTTTCTTTGAAACTTACATTTGCTATGCTTCAGGTGAAGTATTTGCAGTATTTTTCATAGGAAGATGTTACCAGTTTTGACAGCAGAAATAGGGACCAGAATATTGTAAAGTTGGTAAAATATCTCTTCCAGGTTTTCCAACACATGACTTTTCTTTCTCTGAAAGATTTCAGATGCTGAGAAAACAAGAAGCAACCAAATCGGAATTATTATCAGCAGTAGAATTTGCCAAAACCTGAAGTTTGGCACTGAGCTTTCTAAGCCAGCCGTGGGGGTCAGATCTTATTTGGGAGAACACATATATTTTATGTTCTTCTTGAACTCCACATCATCAGTGCAGATATGTATGTCTCCAATCACTATGGCATTAGTCAATCAGAAGATTTATTAGCTGAATCAATAACTCTAGTGGACCATGACTTGTAGCTTTTTGTTGACAGCCTTCACTGAAGGAAAAGGAATTATGGCGTTCTGTGAATTGAAAAGGTTACGCAGAGATTTGGCCTAATTCAGTGTCTGAATCAGGCCTAGTTCTTCACTTCTACTGCAGTTCAGCAGTCATCGTTTGGGGCCTTTAACACAACATTTTTATTGCTACTCCTTTTTGAACATCTTGATGATATGCAGGGGCTTCTTTCTCATCCAAAATGTTTCTTGTCAATAGAACAGACCTTAAAATGATCTAAAATAGATTTATTCAGCTTCTCAGCTTCTGTCCCTCTGTCAATCTTGAAGTGTCTGAATGTCCAGGCCCAGTGACTTGGCACAGGTCTGTATGCCAGACTTATTTATAGGCAGGTGTTGGCAGAAGTTAGATCTGTGCTGTGAAATCAATCTTCCTTCACAAAACTGGTTCGTTTTATGACTTCTGCTCCATGGCACATTCTTAGAGGGCATTCAGCATAGGGATGTCCTTTATACCAACACCAGATGCATGCAATGATTTGGGATATCGTTTACTTACCTATAACTGTTTGGTTGCTATCAGGATAACTGTGTTGCCCATTAACAGAATCATGTGTGTTGTTTATTTAAGGATCAGTGAAGGGCAGTAATATAACAAATATTGCCCATGGGATTATTGGGACTGCACAGAATCTCATTACGTCCTCACATTGTTGGCTTGCTTAGCCTCCACAATCACCTTCACCAAACCCGTGTATTTAGCTGTCCGAAGGCTGGGCACGGGGAGTCAGGTATGTCCTGGACGGACCCAGAGAAGGTCTGCCCAGCGTCTCAGTGCCTCAGTTGCTGGCAGTCTTTTGTCTCTGGCAGGAGTGTATTTACACTGTGTTATTGAACAGCAGTAACCCCATCAGAAACAATGGCCTTTAGGATAACATGGGTAATAATAAACCTCACACTACCAAGTTACTTAGAGCAGACAATGAAGCCGGTCCCCAGTCCTCATTTCTATGGCATCTTGTCATAGTCTCATGTTGCTGTCCTGCTTGTCCTCCAGGCTTGTCTCCCAGTTCCATCCATGTGAAATGTAAGCCAAAATCCCCAGCACTCTTGGAAATAAAATACAATTATAATGCACATTATAATGAAATAACATTATGAAATATTTAATAATTAAAAACAAGTAGGTTCATTTCTACTGCTACTGGAATATGAGTGTTCTGACATGAGCTGCATGTGGCTGCTACTCAGCCCAAGCAGCCTGTGTCCCACTACATCCGTTATTGCACTTAGATACCCTACATGGCCTCTGTGAGATGCTGGGAAGAAACAAATGGCTACAACATTTATGAGATTTATTTATAAATATAGTATCCGAAGAGGAATGGCTTATTAAGTAGCATGACTAATGAGGTTACCTGAGTCAGAATAAAAAACAGGCTAAGAAATTAATGTGAGGAGTCTCTTTTAGAGGAGAAGGGGTTTGCTAGGATCAGAGGGAATGAGCAGGCAAACCAGGGGGATGGCGTTTCCTCTTTTGGTGTCTGTGCTGCCTTGTGACAGACACAGGTTTTCCATATTATTTCTGCATAAACATCA